GTCTTTAAGTGTATACGTGAAAGTTATACAACAGCTGAAATTTGAGTAAAAAGTATAATTATACCGAGGTTGAAACATACTGTATAAAAGCAGGAACTCAAGAAATGGTAATACTGTAACTATGGACGTGAAATCGGCAGAATAAAGTGACCTGCTTTTGGAAACGTTTGCCATAACTGCAGAAGAAAAAAAATCATTTTCAGTCTTTATGCAAAATTAAAAAGAAAATAGTATAGAAAAATTGGAAAAAGAAAGAACTGATGACGTCTTTTCAATGCAAAGACCTAAGGAAAAGAATTCTTTTGAAAAAAATTAAATTAAATGCCATGACGTTTCCAATGCAAGTGAATACGGGACGTGAGGTCACTCTAATGAGGAAATAGAGAAAAAAAGTCATCTGAAAATTGAGACAATTCCATGGATCTTTTATAATGACTTTGGGCTACTTCTAATAGAACTTTGAATCCTGTCACCGATTTGAAATTATTCCCTTTACAGTAGTGGAATATAAAAAATCATAGACTACTAGCAATAAAGGTTATAAAGGGGGATACATAGAAATTACTCAATGCTGTAGAATCAGAAAAAGTAAAAATGGGAGTGTTAAAATGGTATGAATCAAGAATACATTTAAATGAAAATAGTACCGCCTGCTAATTTGAATCCCGTAAATTACCTATTCATCTACTAAATTTAGTGGTCGCCAAGTTAAAGATAATTATAGAGGAGAGAATTTTTTAAGTATGCTCCTCCAGATGGCAGTAAATGGGCGTCTCTTATTGTAAATTTGCGAAGATCAAATGGAGATTGAAGAATATGCGGTGATTTTAAAATAGGCGTAAATCGTAAAATATTCTCAGATTCGCTTCCTATTCCCGATATCGAAACCGCTATCAACAAATTATCTGCTTATAATCAAATGCAAATTGTTGATCAATTCAAGAATATTACCACAATGAACACTTTCATAGGATTATTAAGATAGATGATAACCCTTTTGGAATGAAAACGGTAATTGATTTTTTTAGAGAACATTATATTGGTTGAAGGGGAAGAGTTACTGCGGATGATTACTTTGGGTTTTATTAAATTTAGTATAGTATATTATAGTATAAGTTTTATTTTTTACTGGGAACAATGGGGGATATATTCTCGGATCAATTTCTTAGTGCTGTTACAAAACTGAGTAAGAAAGACGCCGTAGTGTTGGCTATTTCTTTTATTTTCCCAAGTACTTTCAATCTCATCCAAGAGTATGTTATAGAAAAATCCTAAAAAAGAACTCATAATTACTAATATATACCTAGTGTTATATATTTAAATATAAAAGTGGACACTGAAGTCAACACCCAGCAGCGACAGTCTGTTTCATGCTTAAACACAATTGTCAGGGCCACATATATATATATATATATATATATATATATATATATATATATATATATATATATATATCGGCTTGATTGAGGAATCAGAGAGCCGAGTTCGAATTCCAGTCGAATCCATTACATTCACTAATACCCTTGGGAAAGGTATGAATCCTCTTCTTCTTCCTCCAGCTATGGGTAAATAGCAGGACAGACTGGGTTCCTATAGCAGTGGATGGCAACTGGTCTAGGAGAAGGACAACTCTGAATTCAAAACCTGCGGAGGGTCGTTTGGGGACCTTGTGGCACGTAGTGCACCAGGTCTCTGTCTTCGGCCCTCTAAAAAGTGTGGATGGTCCTGCACAAAACCATCACCACTATAATCAAATCTCATGTGCTGTTGTCGGGCTGTCGGTTTCCTGGGAACTGATCTGCTTGACCCTCATACGTCGAATTCGACGGGAGAGTCGAGTAGTATATGTATATTTACTGCTTATAAACTTCAATCTTCCATGAATCTTGTACATTCATAACTGCTCTGGCGTATCAATGTACGAGATTCATGGAAGATTGAAATTTATAAGCAGTAAATTCGACCTTGCCTACCGAACGCTCCTTTGTGGCCGATCGGTAAGGCACGTCAGCGTAAATGACGGTCATATATATATATATATATATATATATATATATATATATATATATATATATATATATATAATTTAATTATTTATATATATATATATATATATATATATATATATATATATATATATATAAAATTAAAAAAAAATCATAGTTTACGTCTAACATAACCAGTCGACCAGTATCTTAATACAGGATGACGCATTTAAAGAAAACAGACTTTTGTAAAATAAGCGCAATATTTAAAATAAAAGAACAATAATAGATAATAGATAAATAAAAAGTTAAATTAATTATCTTTCTAAAGTTTTTTCCAGGCTGTAACCATGGAAAGGTCTTTGCCGTAAGACCCTTGAGGATGAAGTAAAAAAAAAAAAACACCGAGTTCCAAGTTAGGCTTAAAATCAATTGAGAATAGGCTGAACATATTACGAACAATGCCGCCATTGGTACGAGCTACATTCAACTTGTTCGGAGCGATTTATAGCAGTATAACAGGAGATTATTTGATTCTTGTCTGGTTTTTGAAGATTTCAGAAATGTGCCTATAACCAAAATAGGTATTATAATGAATATTTATCAGGACAGAATGCTTACGAGCGTGGGCTGAAAAGTTTATAGGCTGACTATGAAGCAGGGATGCTAGAGCTGTGAAACCTCACATATATTGATATCAGCTATTCTTATTAATAAATGCATTGTTTCTTTCCAAGTAAACTGACATCTGACTGTTCAAAGAAGACATTAAATGGAATAAATATCGACTTCTCTTGAAAATGGAAAAATATTTGTCAATTTGAAATTAATGCATGCAAGACGTCACAGCTATGGTTTCAGTCCTTTATAGTCTGCCTATGAAATTTTCCGCCCACACTTATATATTCTACATTTCCCAATCTGGGATCCTGGGCTCCTTGTCTTTCTTCATTGAAAATAAGCATTAAAAATTCTGGTGTTTACGAGATCTCAGACAATGACAACTATGTTGCAAAAATATACAACTGTTTCAGCCACATAGCGGACCATAATAACATTGTGAGGAGAGCACCTGCCAAGTGGCGCTCTGAAATTCTCGAAAAGTAGATGCCTTTCGGTTCAAATTACAACCGTAAAATTTCGTCGATGAGGTGAATGAAATTAGATAAAAATGTCAAAATCCAAACGAACTGTCAATGTCAAACATTCGCAATGAGCGCAGGGCACAAGTTTCCCCTGAGCGGGAAAAACCGATATTGAATTAATTTTATTAATGCACTTGGCGTGGACAACAAAATACTTTTGGTCGATCCGTCTTCTTCCGAGTAAAAGGATATAATTTCAGAAAGAAACAATGTAAATAAATAGGAAAAAACTTTTCGGCATTGAAACGCTTGTTGGTGTTTTTTTCTCTCCCCCAAAACAAAATGGTCTCATCAAAGCTATTGCATATTCATTCAGGATATGCAATGTAGTTGTTACTGGTCAGGCATCTCGTTTACAGTCACTTTCTCACAGACGTGCCGTCGCTTTCTTCTGTCTTTTCTACAAGTACTTTGACGGTAACTGCTCCGACGAGGTATTTTAGCTGGTTCCCACACTGCATGAATTTAAGCGTGCTACTAGGTTGGCATCTCACTCCCATCCTTTCACTGTTGAAACGGTTAAATGTAGCAGTCTCTTCTACTCCAATAGCTTCATGTCTCGCACTTCCCGTCTCCCGAACTCCCTTCCTCTTTCTTTCTTCTCTGGCAGTTATTGTCTCCAAATATTCAAATGTAATGTCAATCGACATCTTCTGATACCTTGATCTAATTCACCGTCCTTCTCTTTATGCTTTTCTCAATCACATCTCTTTACTATTGCTCCCACTCACTGTAACCCCTTGCTTACTAGTGGCAATCCCGCCTTGTTCGGGATGAAATGCTTAAAAAATATAAGGTTGTTTGGAAAATAATATCCGATTTTAGAATCAATATTTATTCCTGAATTAAAATATTTAAATCATTCTAAATAGGAACCTTGCACATCTATACAATTCTGCTGTTAAGTTACAAGGTTATTTATACCTTGACGATAAAACTAAAGGTTTAAACGCCGAGAAATCATTGAATGCAGCTTCTACATCTTCTTTGCAACGGAATCTTTAAGATTCGTATCCCCACTTGGAACTTCTAGAAAACAGCTTCTTACTTTCCGATTACAAGTGGAACCCTCACCCCCGGGCTCTGTTAGTGTTGGTATACATTATGACCAAGCTTGAGAACGTGCAATAAAAAGTAGATGCATGTCTTTTTTATTCATGTTCAAGATGAGCGCTATATAATGTTTTAAATTAAAATTCTGAAAGAAAATGATATAACATTAACAAAGATGACGTTTTAAATAATAGGGATGTTTTGTGCAACTATTATAAGAATGTTTTAGAACGAAATAAAAGGGCTTATTGTAAAATTAGAAATTATTTTCCAAACAACCTGATATTTTAGAATAAACCAGAACATATGCTGGGAGAAAACCATCTGTACGGATAATGTTATATAGGAATAAAGTGTCGCTGCCGACACTTGAGTTTGAACATAGATCGCCAGTGAGCAAACACTGAATTAAGTAGATCATGTGACTATAGAGAAAACGCATAAACAGATAGTAGCGTGACGTCTAAAGGATCGCCATTTGTAGTTTATCTTCTGTTATTATACGGATCGTTATTTCTATCCTATCCTCTATTACTATACGGACTGCTATTCTCTACTCTATTCACTATACTATTCCTCTATTTGGATCACCATACGGTGGTTACTTGTCGAGCGAGTATTATTGAGCAAGTACTATTAGTGCGAGTGTCATTCGAAGGCGTCTGACACCAGTATTGTTCAACGGCGTTACTATAGTTGTATCAGCGTCTACAAAGTCTCTACTACAACGAGCATTACGAAAGTTGGCATTACAAAAGTAGCAACGAATGTTCGTTGACATCACATAATTATCCATTACACTATCTGTGCATCTAAGCTTACAGCACCTGGTATTCAGAAGCGGTCACCCATCTCGGTACAAATCAGGCTCGAGGTTGCTTAACATCGGTGATCGTGCAGGAACCGGTGTTTAATCGTGGTATGGCCGTTTATTTTTTTGTTTTTTTTTGGTGGGGGGATTGTTTTGTTTTTGGGGTTTTTTTTTTACATATTAATGTCTGATACCAGTATTATTCAGCGGCGTACAATAGTTGTATCTGAGATTACAAAGTCTCTACTAAAAACGACAATTACGAAAATGACAACGAGTATTTATTGGCATTACAAAATTGGCAACGGGTGTTCGTTGACATCACAAAAGATAATAAATGAATTCGGTAAATAGAAAGGAGCGTAAGACAAGGGTTTATCTTCTCGCCGGACTTATTAAAACTTTACAGTGAATCGGTCCTGAGAAAATTAGAAACCTTACCAAGATTCATTACAATCTCAACAGCATAAGATATGCCGATGAAACTGTGTTGATAGAAGACATCGAAAGTAAACTACACGAACTTCTACAAAAAGTGCTGAAGGAAAGTGAAAAGAAAGGATAAACTATCAACTATAAGACAGAATTTATGGTCGTCATCAGGATGAGCAGTCCAAGGTGAAAACTACAAATCAAACAAGTACGAAAACTTAAATATCAAGGAAGTGTTTTAGCAGAGGGCGGTAAAATATGTCAACCCAGATCCGAAGACTCATTACAATTGGTAAAGATGCCTTCCAAAAGCTAAGCAAAGTGTTGAGAAAGCAGAAAATTTCGTTAGAAACAAAGAAAAGAGTACTGAACTGTTAGGTAATATCAGTTCTCCTATATGACAATGAATGCTGAACAATATCTTCACAGACGAAGAAGAGAATTGAGGCTGCATAAATGTGGTTCTACAGAAGGATGGTGCGAATACATTGGACTGAACACGTGAGCAACGACGAGGTTTTAGGGACACTGGAAACAAAATGTACGCTTCTACTTAAAATTAGAAAGAGTTGAAACTTTTAAGACACATAGAATGTGTGTCAAATTCCTCAAGCCATATTCCTCATATTGATAGTAAGACGAACAGAAGAATGCTTCAAATAACGTACCTACCAAGTTTTATGTAAATGGTTGGTAGAAGAGGGTTAAGGGAGGATATCAAAAAGACAAAACTTATTAAGAGCGACTAAGGGCAAGAAGTTGTGGAGAGCCATGATCGCTCACATACTGAATGGACACATATACATATTATTTTGTATAGTATTATTCATATATATTATATTGTTGTAGCATACCTACGGACGGTATTGGGTATGTCCCCATTTACATACATACAGTAAGAAATACTGTATGTTGGTCTGTGCTGGTCAAACTCTCTACCTCTGGCCAGAGAGGATCCCCAGACGTGGCTATATCGAAGGGCAGATTTTCGTCTCAAACATCTACTCGACCCCATTTTATACGGGGTCTACGGGATATTTTTGGCCGAGCCTACGGGCCCGGATACCCCACATTAAATTCAGCCTTGTGCCATATCTGACCGCGTGGAGCGGTTGTTAGATATCATGCATTTGGAGTACTCAAGAGGATCCCCAGACGAAGCTATGTCAAAGTGCATTCCCTTCTCGGGAAACAGCTACCCGGCCCCGTTTTATACAGGGTCTACGAAGAATTTTTGGCCGAGCCTAAATTCGGCCTCGTGCCATATCTGACCGCGTGGGGTGGTTGGTAGATATCCTGCAGCTGGAGATTCGTCTCCAGCTGTGCTGGTCAAATTCTCTGCCTCCGGGTAGAAAGGATCTCCACACGGGGCACCGTCGACGGCCAGAGTCTCGTCTCCAGAAGCAGCTACCCGACCCCGTTTTATACAGGTCTACAGGGAATTTTTGGTCAAGCTTCGTAGATATCCTGCAGTTGTAGATTCATTATGGAATTCACTTGACTCACTTCTAGCATTTGACTACTTCTTCTACGCGCCGCTGACGAATCTTATATGTGTTGTTCGTATCCTAAGTATTAGCATTCATTACTAACCTTCGTGTGATTATTCTATTCAGTAATCTTCCCAAAGTTACAACATATATACATGTTATACATATTAATATTTCATACATGTTAATATATATATATCAAAATATTTTTCGAAGTTCCTGATCATTTTCATGGTTTCTGGCGAAAGTTTTAATATAACTTATACTGGCAACCATCGATTCTGTCTTCTTACAATTAATAGTCTCTTCTTCTTGCTCTTGTCGACGACCTTGTCTAATTATCTCAGTTTTCTTTCTAAATTTGGTGTCAAAATAGTGGTATATGTTTCGGAGAAGAGACTGTTATTTTAATTAATAAATATATATCTCTATCTGTAAAAGGCAGGATGTGTGTGTGTGTGTGTGTGTGTGTGTGTGTGTGTGTGTGTGTGTGTGTGTGTGTGTGTGTGTGTGTGTGTGTGACGAATGCACGGCCGCAATTTTCGACGGATTTGCGCCAAAATTTACATGCACTTGCTTCAAGTTAGCGGGAAGGCCAAGACCGACTTTGCATTTCCCAACTCCCATCGATAGTGGAAATAATCGATTTTTCATGCTTCTACGGCAGTTTTCATGTAGTTTGTGCCATTTTGTACTGGCCAGAGCCAATAGCTGGCTGCCACGAATAGGCAGGAAGATTCTATTGGCCAGCGTGAGAGTCAACAGCTAACTGACACGAATGTTAACTATCATGCAAAAAAAATCGACGGCTGCATTCGTCACAAGTGGGAAATATTTAAATCTGCATAGCACTTTACTCCAATTGGTTCATTCGCTTGCTTAGACTCAACGTTGATTCTGATTCCGCAGAACTGGGTTGGGTGTGAAAAAGTATTTGTTGTTAACGTTCTTTTTTCATTCGGTTTTTCCAGTTACGATTTTATTTTAAAGCTGATCGTTTTGTGTTCATTTTGTTTAGTTCTTTTTTCGTAACAGATTTAATGTTTAGTATAGAGCTTAGAAAAAAATCGCAGTGTGAGGTAGGCAAGAATTAAGGCATGTAGCAAGATCAGCACGGCAAAGGGCACTCCTTTAAAGGCAAGGAAGGGCAAAAATATTTTAAGTCAAGTGATAGCTGTTAGTATATATATAAATAAATATATATATATATATTATTATTATTATAGTTTTTTTTTTTTACTGTAAGGTTAACCGTTTCCAAGGCCCGGGGACCTTCATGGTTAAGTGAAGGAGTAGTTTATGTACATAGGAGAGAAAGATAACAGTTAACTCTAGACTTGAACAGGTTAAGATTATAGTGATCACGAAAACATCCTCTTGCGAGGCAGTGGTTCGCGGGAAGGAGTGAAATATTAGGAACCTAAATTCGCTTGAAGATGAAATGGGACTAAGCACTTCAATTCAACTTAATTTTAATAATTATTTGGATGGTTTCGGCTCTCGTTTTTGAAACATGAGAACTCTTATGTAGCGAAGGAATCATATTTTTAAACAAAAAAAATTATTATAATAAAGCTCTACTTCTGTATGGAGCACTATCTTCTTAAAAATAAAAACAAAAATACTAAGGAACTCCGGATTATGCACCCAACGTGTTCTTTTCTATTTTCTGCATACCTGCGCATTTATACATACATACATACATACATATATATATATATATATATATATATATATATATATATATATTGAAACATGAGAACTCTTATGTGGCCTTGTAATCATATTTTTAATATATATATATATATATATATATATATATATATATATATATATAACTTTTAATTTTTATCACAGGTGGCACATCTTTGAGTTTCATGTTACGTTTAGTTTTCAATCTGCACCTGACGATTGTGTTGTGCATGAAACTCAGAAATGTGCAATCGATGAAGAAGAAAACATATATTTATTACTAATATAAATTATAGCACCGTTCTAATACATCGAGCAATATTTTATTAACAACAGCATTAAATGTGTTATCTAGGCATGACAATAAACTATATCCGGCAGCAAGTCTCCTAATCGGGGTTTTTTTGAGAAGCGTGGAATCACTTCTTAATTACCGTTCTTCCCAGGTCCACCCTGACTCGGAGTGGTAGCATCTATTAGTGATCCAACTATGAGCAAATAGTTAACACCCAAATTTGGATCAAAACACTATGAAAGTATAGTAAAAATACTAGCAATATATTTATAGTAAAAATATTGGCAACGCATTTTCATTGTAAAACAAATTAACAGCAAGACATAAAAAGCACATTACCAAAAATATATTATTTAAAAGACTTTACCAGCAATGCATAAAAAAATTACCAGCAATACATTTTTGCAAAAGAAATTATTAATACTCCCAAGAAAATTCAATGTAGGTATTCAATGACCCATAAGGAGTTGATATGCCGCTAAGTCAACAAACTCTGAACTCATTCAATGTTCGATATTCTATATTCATATCTATATCTATCTATCTATCTATCTATCTATATATATATATATATATATATATATATATATATATATATAGAGAGAGAGAGGAGGGAGAGAGAGGGGGAGAGACAGAGACAGAGAGAAAGAGAGCGCGGCAGAAATACGTTCCACATATACTAACCAAAAATGTCTCCCACATAATGGAATGACATTGACTAGATGAAGACATCGTTACCACTAATGTCTTACCATTATGTGGGATGTATTTCTGCCTCAGCCTACACACACACACACATTCACACACACACACACACACACATATATATAATGAAATGAATAAATATAAATTAATGTGCATGTATGTGTTCACACCAAATGCACACACACACACACACACACACACACACATATATATATATATATCTTTTAGTGTAAGAAAAACAGTGCTGAATGCTAAATAACAGATATATATATATATATATATATATATATATATATATATATATATATATATATATAGTAAAAATACATAGTACCCTACACCGGGTTTCATATTGCATTAGCATGCAACCCCGAGTCGTACTGCCAGCGTACGGTACTATGAATTATTACCAATACATATATATATATATATATATATATATATATATATATATATATAGAATCAGATTCTCTTCTCTGAAGAATATTATAAATTGTCTGTGTT